AGTTAGCGAAGGCTGAATGTGCTCACAGCCACAGCCGGAGTGTTCAGGTTGGCCAGGGAACCAAACCTGACCTCCCACGCAGCTTCCAGCCTTTCAAATGGTGGCACTGCATACCACCACAGCTGGGGCCTTGGGTGATTTCAGAAATCTTACCAACCGGGTCCATTTCAGAGAGAAGACGAAGTGCAAGCACTTGAAGGCATAGCAGAGAGTAACGCAGGTAATATTCCTGAATAAGGCTGGGGAGGATTTCGTTTTCTCCCAAAGGATATTACTCTGGGGAAAAACTTGGTTATTTGTGGCTGTTTTAGGTGACGGTCAGAAGCGCCGAAGAGACACGGGAGGCGTGGGAGAAGTGTGTCCTGCTGTCACAGCCACCGCACAGAAAGGAGTCGCATGGCGTGAGCTCCAGGGGAGCACCCTAACTGGGCAGGTGGGCATGGAGAATGAGCCCAGGGCCTTGGGATCCTGTGACTGGGATCACCAGAGAGGAGCGAGTTCACTGGTACATTCAGATGTCACTAGGCCGCTGCTGGAGCAGGGTAGGAATGGACACGCCTGGCAGCTGCGTCTCACTGCTCCCTCCCTGCCTGGCCCGCCTGCCTGTTTGTCAATGTCGAGGCGGTTGGAAAATAAGAGTTTTGGGTTTTGTTTTTTAGGTTTTTTCCATAGGGTTCATTTGCTTGCCAAAGAGAGACAGAGAGAGGGAACGAGAGAAGTGAGAAATCCCCCAGAGGGGACACCCACAATGCTATCCCTTCACTTCCATTCTCTCAGGATTTTAGGCACACATGCACGTGTGCTGGTGTGATTTTCAGGGTGCCGAGTCTGGGACTCGAACCACAGTCAGCTGTGTGGGAGTCCAGTACCTTAATACCATACCACCTATTTGCCCAAAAAATATGAAACTTTTAAGTGTGCAATACAGGACCAGCCAGGTGGTGTGGCAGCTGGATCTCACATGGCCAAGTGCATGGTTTGAACCTTGGACCTGGCAGTTGGAAGAGGTCAGGTGTGTGTGCCCCAAATCCTGAAAGAACAGAGAAGAGATTGTGGCTTGGCCATCCCCCCTGGGGGCTGACTTCTCGCTTTTCCTCTCTCTTCAGCAAGTGCACACACCCTATGGCAAAATTTAAAATTTTTAAAAATGCAGTAAAAAAAATGCAGTAAAGATGTGAAAACATGCACTTCGAAGTCTTTTATTATTTTTGAGAGAGATTTTTGCCATAGGACATATGTACTTGTAGTTTTCTGAGACAGAGACAGAAAGCAAGAAATCACCCCCCAGGGGGAATGGCCACGGCGCAATCCCTTCTCCTCGGAAGATGGCCACAATCCCTTCTCTTCCAGGCTCCTCTTGGAATTTTGGGCACACATGCACACATGCCCAGAGGAGTTTTAAGCTGCCAGGTCTGAGACTCGAACCATGGTTGACTATGTGGGAGTCCAGTGACGTAACCACTATGCCACCTGCTGGTCACTCAGAGTCTTTATTGACACTGACCAGACTTTTATCTCCATCTTATATTTACTCTCAGGCCAATTAATGGTTGATTTATAGCACTGAGTGAAGAATTTGTCTTGACTTTACATGCCAAGGAGAGTTTTTATGGAACTCCTTAGTCGTATTTTAAATGGGACATGAAAGATGGAAGAGGATATTTTATGTTGGGCTTCTGGGTGTGACCCATTCTGACCAACCCTTTTCTTCCCATCCTGTTCCATACATTTGCTTTGCGTAAACACTTGTTAAAGCTTCAAATGCTTTTCTTTCCATACTACTGAATTAGTTAATATTTAAACTTCGTATTTCTTGTCTGATGTCTGTATCCCACGATTCTGGGGCTGCTTTATTGCTTTAGGTGAAGAAATGCAGGGTGCTGCCAGGACCATGAAGACAGATAAAACTGCCTCAACCTTGGCTCTCTTCCTGCTTTCAACAAATCAGGTCAAGTAATATGGCTTATATTTCACTAGTTATTACTGTTATTTTTTTGGAGAGGTTTTTGCTATAGGGCGCGTGCGCTCACCAGACAGACAGAGAGAGACAGAGAGATAGAAAGCGAGAAATCACCCCCCCCAGGGGGGATGGCCATGCCGCAATCCCTTCTCCTCCATTCTCCTCTCAGGATCTTGGGCACGCACGCACACACGCCTGGTGTGAGTCTAAGCCACCGGGTCCGGGACTCAAACCGCAGTCGATTACATGGGCATACAACAACGTAGCCATTATGCCAACTGCTGGTCCCCACTGGTTATTATTTTTAGGCTCAAAACTTTGATATTTGATGGTCTGTGTTTGTTATGGAAAGTATTTACACAAACACATTCTGCTATTTCTCACCTTTTGTAGTTCTCTTCTATAGGAAGGAATTAGAATGAGCCTCTCGAGATTATTAATCACCCCGATTTTATTTTCACTCTGCAATATATCAATTTGGTTCACTTTCCTATGGGTCCTGAGGTAAAACCCAAGTTTTTAAATAGGGAAACAATCATTGGGTTTGAACACTTCATAAGACAAACTTTTTAAATGCCATCTGGCAATCTTTATTAAAAGAGGCTCAGAAAAATAGAGCACATTTAAACTTCCTTTGTTCTAACATTGTAAGACTGCTACATTTCTAGATGATCTATAAAGACAGTTATGTGAAATAAATATCATAGTTGAAATACATTTTTAACGGGTAAATACTGAAACCTAGTTTGTTGAAATACAATTTGTTTCTAATCATATCAGAGCTATATTGTACAGTTAATGAAAGATTTCAAAAGATACAAAGTTACACCAATCTGATATTATGCCCTGACAGTCCTGCCTGTCCTGTAAAGTGGTTGTAAGAAGGGGAGCAAATTTTAGCCCTAGGGTTCACCAAAGCTAAATGCATTCTTTTCTGGTATAAAGATAGAAGATAGATGTTGTCCCCCATATACTATAAAATGATCTGTTTCGAAAGTTGTTCTTGGTCTACCCTTGGTTAAGGGTAATTAATGTGCTTCTTACTGAGTGGATGATCTAGTGGGAGACAGTCAGCAACTACCCACCTTTCCTGTGCTTGTCCTGTCCTTCCTTTCACCCCTTACTGAACGTGTGGTTTCCTGCGTTAACAATGTTGGCTTAATATAGCAAAATTTCTGACCACCAAGTTATCAACGATTGAGCTTCAAGTAACCTTGAGAAAATACGAATGTTTACCTTCACTCTAATAACAAAGTTATCAATGTCTTCTTCAAAATGCGGTTGCTCGATTTGTTGAAGTTAGAACTAGACTCGCTAACACAGTTATTTGCTTCTGGGTTAAATGGGAAACTACATACTCTAGAGAAACAGACCTGAATAAAAATCCCTTATACATTTTGATTGTGGGGGGACCTTTGCTCTTGGAAAATTAAGGGTGTTATCTCTTTATGCTCATAGTGTGGGGTTCAGACCTCTGGCTTGCACAGACTACGGATTTTCCTTCTAGTTGCAGTGTCTTTGTTTATGCCAGATAACAGCGATCACTGTGCATGCAGGCAGGGGAGATACGTGAATATGTTCGAGCTGATACACTAGTAAGACTATCATTGCAAAGAAAATGGCACAAACTCGAGACTTAAAAATAGCATTTTTGAGGCTCTCAGCCTTGACAGCATCTGAGTCCCCTTGGGTGTAGAATTTGGAACGTGATTCATAATCATCATCTTGATGACTGAATCATGGCAGAAACAGTGAAGGTTGCATTCTGGGAAATGTCACTGAATAGAAAGGAAGAGTTAAAAAATGCTTTTGAAGAGATAACAGCTCATTAGCCAAATAAGTAGGAATACTATTGTGAAGAGATTTTAAGGAAAGACTTCATAACCGTCTGAGTCCATGTTTACAATCCTCAGATAAGGTCTTTCCAGCGATCTCATACTTGGGCATAGTGATGATTTTCTGGAGGGCTCATGGGCAGTTAATGCTGTCGCTAAACCAGGCTGGTGTGGATGGGAGGTGGACTGCGTTTTCCTACTCTGGTTCATTTCTAAAACATGTTTTCTACACATAATGACTTGGACATCACAAACAGTTCTCTTCTAAATAAGCCTGTCTAGAACTAAGAGGTAAACTACTCTGGACGCCTTAGGTAAGAAACTGTATGCAGATGAAATGGACTAGGTGACAAAAACTAACACTGGGAAAACCGCCTCCAAGCTAAAGGTGGATAAGCAAAACTACTGAGTGACCAATGTGCACGTCCAGTAGCTACGTTTTCATCAGCTTACACTCACCTCCGCTACGTAGCCTTCCCCTCAGTACCTAGCTTCTAAACCCTCAGACAGTTTGTGCTTAGTAATCAAATACTAAGCTGGATAATGCCACCCACAGAAAGAAAGTGGAAGAAAAGTCAGCCCCTTATTGATCATGTAGACATTTCTGTATGCCTACCAGAAAGTATCCTGAATTAGATCACGTTAAAAAGAAAACCCTGCATGTCACTGTAGCAGTGTGTGAAAAATCAGACCCCGAACAGACACTTGCACAGTCTTCATTGTTCCTGGGCAGACAGGTTTTGCTTGTTTCTAGGGAGGGTGGCCTGTTACTCCCCCGTGAAAATTCGATAATGGAAGTGGGCAGTGTCCGTGCTTTAGTATGAATGAAAGGTAACATCACATCTTACCTCTAAATGGAGCAAATCAAGTGCCAAGCTGCTCCGTGACTTCATTAAAGGAAGTTGAGTTCTTAACACTTAGTCTACCTTTCTAACCAAAGAAAAAGCCGGTCTGGTTCTAGTTCTGCTATTCTCCACAACACAATATCCCCCTTGCCACTGTTCAACTTAAAAACCAACACGGCGCCACAGCCCAACGGCATGCTGTCTTTGTGCACATCAGAATTCTCACAGCCAGCAAGACAACGCAAATAAAAAAAGGCTTTCCAAAGAGGGAAACCCAGCTCCTCGCTGACAGGGTTATTCCTAGTAGTTATTTGACGTAAATATTGGGATCTAAAGCTTGCATACTTAGTAGAAGGAAACCCAGCTCCTCGCTGACAGGGTTATTCCTAGTAGTTATTTGACATAAATATTGGGATCTAAATCTTGCATACTTAGTAGTTTCTAAAATTTTCCATATAGTATCAACAGCTTCAAATCCAAGATATTAAATCAGTACTTAACCTATTTCAAATGTGGTCCTTACCATCTATCTAAAGTTGGCTGACAGGTGTTTTCTTCACAAATATCATGCTTTTGTGTGTGGACTACAATATAAACTCCTTTCCACAAAGGCAGTATGTTGCAAAATTGATGTCTCAAGGCCATTAAAGTGACATTAGAACATCAGTCAGGCATTAAGAAGTTCATCGTCTGAGTGTCCGATAGCATCTGGATTTGAAAGTGGGTCCAAGTCCGCAAATAGGCTGAACCAGGCTGACATGTCTTGGTTACCATTGTTGGGGGCTATTAGGGAGGGAGAAAAAAAAAAAAAGAGTTTCTGCTTTTAAAATATTTTTGTACCACTTTGTGATCTTGAAGGAGATGCTTTTTAATAATAGTTTTTAAAAAAAGATAAGTGACAAACAGTAAACTATTAAGTATACTATTAATACAGATAATTTTGAAAAGCTGATATAGATATCTATTATTAATTTCAGAGATTCTTCTAGGATGACAAACAGAAAATAAATTTTACAATATACATATACAGAAGAACCACCCAAGTAACGTGAAGAAACAAAACAGAAGCTCCCCTCAGGACCATTCCAGTCACTGCCCACTCGTGCCTCCACCCAGCCCCAGCCCGAGGGCACACTGGGAAAGTTCTGTGTAGGCCATGAGCATGTATGACAATGACACTCTGCTGTGTACTGATAACAGTATGGCCAATGTATAGAAGCATTTCCATCGGATATACACTTGGGAGTGGAACTGCTTGGTCCTGGGGTATATAAATGAAGTTTTATCTGAAACTGCCAGTTTTCTAAAAGGTAGTGTCAGTTTACACTCCTAGAAGCAGGGTTTGTGATTCTAGTTCTCCATATCCTGTCAACATGTGGACTTCTCTTTTTTTGTTTTTCTCATTTTAGCCATTCTGGTAGATGGGTATTAGTATTGCATTTTGGTTTTAATTTGCATTCCCTTAGTGACTGATTTTAAAATTGTTAAGAATTTTGGTTTTTATTAAAATCATCAGGCTTGATTTTTTTTGTTGTTGTTAAGAGAGATTTTTGCTATAGGGCACATGCACTTGCTGGAGAGACATAAACAAAGAGATAGAAAGTGAAAAATCACCACCACCTCCGCCCCTCCCCCCCAGGGGGGATGGCCACACCACAATCCCTTCTCCTCTTGGAGACCTTTGGGCATGCATGCACACGCGCCTGGCATGAGTTTTAAGCCACTGGGTCCGGGACTCCAATCACAGTGGACTATGTGGGAGTCCAGTAACGTAACCATCACACCATCTACAGGACCAGGGACTTAATTTTATTGTAGCTTTTTGCTGATCACTTTCTTTAGTCCTCAAAATCATCCTCAAAGATTATGGGTAAATAGCACCTTTCCCAATGCCTTTTTTAATGTTGATGTCTGAAATTTACTCACTTTATAAGCTTTTAAATATTTTTAAAGAGGGACCACCAGTTGGCATAATGGCTGTCGCTGGACTCCCATGTTGTTGGCCGTGGTTCAAGTCCAGGACCCAGTGGCTTAAACTCAGGCCGGGCACATGTGAGTGCATGCCCTAGATCCCCAGAGGAGAATGGAGAAGAGACTGTGGCGTGGCTATCCCCCCCCGGGGGTGATTTCTTGCTTTCTGTCCGTCTCTCTGTCTTTCTGGCGAGCACACAAGCCCTATAACAAAAACCTCTCAAAAAAAATTAAAGATTAAGTACAAACTCAGTTTTAGGTTTTTGTTTTGTTTTGATTTTGTTTTTCAGGTTTTTGCCATAGGCGAATGTGCTTGCTAAAGAGAGACAGAGACAGTGAAAATGGGAAATCACCCTGCAGGGGAATTGGCCACACTGCAGTCCCCTCTCCTTCATTCTCCTCTCCTCACCTGCCAGGTCTGGGGCTTGAAACACGGTCAATCATGTGTGAGTCCAGCACCTTCACCACCACACCCATGCTGGCCCCAGTTGTAGGTGTTATTTAAAAAAGAAAAATATAAGGAATCTGAATCTCTGAGGTATGGTGTTATTCTGAATCTGTCAGTGTGGATTTGTAATTTCGTTTGGCATTAAGAGATTCACCTAGTATTGACTTACCTCTAAGTATTAGGAAGAATAAGTTAGAGTCCAAGAGTCTGCACTGATAGATATCAGTGAATATGTAAATAAGTGGAGGAGAAATGCTAACTCATAAATTTAGAGGGAATGAGGAACAGAAATTCACTATTTGGCAACAGCCATAATAAATGTTTCATGTAAGAATTAAAAATGAATGCTAAATTAGTGGGCAAAATTTTGATAGAAACAAGCCTCTTACAGTTTCAAAATATTTCCCACAAGATACTTATTAATTACAAAGGGAAAATGTAATTGTAGAGAGGAGAAACCTGGCTGTCACCACCTTAACCAAGTGATCGAAGTTACCCCACCAGCAGAGACAAAAGAAACCTCACACACACCCTCAGAGGAATCACTGAGAAGGCCCGACACCATCCCTACA